AGAAAAAAATTCCACTCCTGTCCAAAAGTTTTCTGACAATTGGAAATGTGGTGATGTTGCCAAAATCAGTTTAGACTTGAGTAGGTGAACCCCTTACAGGATCACAAGGTGCCTTTAATCCCAGAGGATATTTAAAGCAATTTCTCCTTCCTGGCAATTTCTCCTTCCTGGTTCTCCCCACCTGGCAGGTTAGGCTCTAACAATGGGCCTAAGGAAATACAAGATCTGAAGTCTAAGGACTGTCCTACACCACAGATAGGCTGGAGGGAAGACAGCATTTGAACCTGAACTTCAGGGAGCAGAGCTGTGGCAAGACAAAGGGATGGAGGCAGGGTGGGGGGATGGGGGGGGTAGGGGGGGGGAGCTGGCTTTAAAACTTAACTTTAAAACATGAAGATGCACGCGGGCGTGGTGGCGCAGGCCTTTAATCCCACTAGTCTACATAGCAAGTTCCAGGACAGCTGGGGCTACAGGGAGACCCTGTCTCAAAAGACAAAAAAAACAAAGAACAACAACAAAAAAAAAAACCCACAAAAAACCAGGAAGATGCTTGGTAAGCACACTTACATCATTAATATTCTTTCAGCAAAGGGGTTTTGTTTATTACAGTATCATTAGGAAGCCTGGTTTGGGACTCTATTGAGGCTTCTCCACCCCTAGCACAATTATCCAGCATGCCTGGGCAAAAAAAAATGTCAGCTGTAATTGCCAGTCCTTTGCGGAACCACTTTCCTAACCAAACACAGGCAACTGCAGTTAGAGTTATTTGGTTTTCTTTGCCTTTGGAATGACTGAAAGAAGCCATGGTGGCAGGTTGAGAGGAGGGTCACTTTTCAGAGTCCCAGGGAGCTGACTGGGGGTTCACCAGAGGGAAGGAGGTTCAAGTCATGATACAGGGTCTCTTGGAAGGTTGGCATGTAGTCTGGGCTGTCTGCTCTAAAGTGGCTGGTCTTGGCTAGTTACTTTCATCTTTGGGGGGGGGGACTGTTATATTTCACTTATTTATGTATGTGAGCACGTGTGCCATGGCATACATGTGGCAGTCAGAGGACAACTTGCAGGAGTCCTCTTTCTACCAAGATAGCCCCTTGTTACTTCCTTTTCTAAGGCCTCAGCTAGCTAGTCTTGAAGATGCACATATTGAGGGTTTTCAGCACATACAGACTCCCTTGATGGACCCTGGTCCTTGCTTTTCTCATAACCTCTGGTCTTATGATAGAGCATGGTCTCATAGTTGGTGTGGCCAGTGTCCAGTTCCCTGGTACCTCACTCTCTCCCCCTGGCCTAGCCTAGGCTTCCTGTAGCAGCTCTTCTGTTAATGTCAAGCATCCCACTGCATTAATTAGCTTTCTGTCACTATAACAAAATGCCTGAAGCTACTTAAAGATGTTGATTTTGGCTTACACTTTTGGAAACAGAGGGGCCTAGGCTCTGGTCGGGGAGCTCCAATGGACCACATCATATGGTGGCAACATCTACCCATTTCTGCTGTGGTTTCTCTCCCTCTCCTTATAAAGCCAAGGTTTCAATCATGGTGGCCCCACCCTGATGAGCTAATCTTGTTCTAAAGGGCCCACCTCTGAACACACAGGCAGATTAGGTTCCGGATCTCCTCTTAATGCTATTAAGATTTGGGGGATTAAACTCCTGCTTGAATGGTGATGGGAGGGGCAACCATCACTCTGACCTTTCTTGTTCACTTCACAGCCCTCCAGTCCTCTTCCTGGATCTTGCTGAGACACACCTTTCTCACCAAGCTTCCTCCCTTACTGCCTGGAGCCCTTCCGTCCATCCCTCCTTCCTTAATCTCTGGCCACCACCTTTTGCCACCTTATATGAGGCCACGCCCTCAACAGTCCCCTGGCACTGTGCTGCCAAACAAGAAGGTATTTCAGTGATGATGACGTGATTTTTTTTTTTTTTACGATAGGTTCTCAAACTTGCTATGTACTGAAAGATTGCAGGTGTACCACACCAGGTTTATGCAGTGCTGGGGATGGAACCCAGGGCTTCATGCATATGAGGTAAGTACTTTACCCAATGAGCCACAGACTCTTTTGTATTCTTGTGGTTTTTCTTTGGATTTTGAAATTTTCTTTTGTGTCTTTTTGAGATCAGGGTCTCCCTGTAGCCCCAGCTAGCCTGGAACTTGCTATGTAGACCAGGCTGGCCTCAAACTCAAGAGATCCTCCTGCTTCTGCCTCCCAACTGCTGGGATTAAAGGCATGAGTTTGTTTTTAAGATGTATTTTTAATTGTTTATGTGTACCTAAGTGCAGTACATGCAGAGGCCAGAAGAGGAAGGCACATCCCCTGGAGCTGGAATTACAGATGGTTGTAAACTGCCTGACATGGGTGCTGGTAGCCAAACTCAGGTCTTCTGGAAGAGTAGTGTGTGCTCTTAATCTCATACCATCTCTCCAGCCCCTAGATATGGGTGTTTTATTTTTGATACAGGGTCTTCCTGTAGCCCCAGCTGGCCTGGGACTATGTAAATCAGGCTGGCTTCAATCTGAGAGAAATCCACCCCCCAAGTGCTGGGACTAAAGGTGTATACCACCATGCCTGGTTAGGTGTGGGTGTTTCCTGGTGCTCTGGTTCCACCCTGACTGGTCTCACTTGATTCACTGTTTCAAGATGAGGACAGCCTGAGGACCCCCCAAGCAACCTTTCCAGTCTGGGTCTCTCTTCCCACCCTGGGAGATACCTGTACATTGGAACCTGCCCATGGCTGAACCTGTCATCTTTCCTTCACATACCTTCCCTGTGTCCTGGGATACCTGTTACCTTGTCTATCCAGCTATGACACCACAACCCATTTCTGTGTGTGGCACACACCCATGGAAGCCAGAAGGGGGTGCTGGATCCCCTGGAGCTGGACTTACAGGCAGCTGTGCTGGGGACCAAACTTCAGTCCTTTGCAAGAGCAGCAAACACTAACTGCATTACTGTGATCTCACTTCCTACCTGGCCCCCTCCTGTCCACACGCCAAGCATGCTGTGAAAGAGCCTCTCTCAAAGCCCTGTCAGAAACCCATATAGCACACAGTGTTACTCTGCTAGGGCCAGAGCTGCAGCTGTGGCAAGGCAAGGCCTGTATCCTGCTCTCCCCCATGTCAAGCACCTGGCAGTGGCTCAGGAACCCTGAGCTGAGCACTTGGTCTGTGTTCAGTAAACATTTACTACATTCCATGGAATAAGGAAGCTGAAAAGGGCCTCTCTGGACTTGCTCCAGGTTGATTTCTAAGTGTTCTCTTTATGGAAATTACATGCTAATATATGGTAATTGCAGCTCACTTTCATGTAGGATGTCAAAAAGTAAACAGAAATTAACTCCCAAAGAGGAGAAAGAAAAAGTCTGCTCAGTTCCAGGGCTGTGAGGGAAACAGTTTCTGTGCAGCCTCCTTCAGTGCAGCCTTGAGAAGCAACCCTTTGAGGAATGCAGGGTTGGGTCCTTTGAGTCTTGACCACATCTCCAAAAGCTGATGGTCACACTGCCTTGTTCAGTGTGTTCTGCCTGAAGGCACCTTATCTTTTATTGTGTGTGTACACATGTGTGTGTGTGCCTGTCACAGTATGTGTGTGGAGGCCAGAGGACAACTTGCGGGGTCAGTTCTCTCCTAACCCCACACGGGTTCTGGTGAGCGAACTCCGGTTGTCAGGTGTGGTAGCAAGCACCTCTACCCGCTGAGCCACCTTGCTGGTCCCCCTTATCTATTTTACCGCTGATTATAAAACACTAGCTTAGAGCCAGGAGCAGTTCTGTGCTCAAAGCTCATCTAAGACATTTCCCACACTGGGCATGCCCCAGGTCTCCTGTGCTTAGGAACACTACACATAACCCTAGCATGAAACATGTTTTAAACAGCAGCACTACCAAAAGAAAGCAAGACACAGAATACTGGCCATTAAGTAGACTGTTGGAAGGAGGACCCTCAAACAGTATGAATTGAACACAGGAACATAGCTGACTCCTCCACCCTCAGCCAGGAACATGTGTGGATGGACAGTCACTCAACCTTCCTGATCCCTTATGCATCTCTGTAAATGTCTATAGAAGGAATTCAAATATGGAGTTAGGGGTTGTAAACAGATTTTAATAGACACGTGAATTCACAAGTATGGAATCCATGAGTAATGAGGGTTGGCTGCACTTAAATCTATTTTCTGGGGGTTGGCTCAATGGGTAAGAACACCTGCTGTGCAAGCATGAGGACCTGAGTTCAAACCCCCAGCATCCAAGTAAAAAGATGGGTGTAGGGGCTAGAAAAATGGCTCAGCAGTTAAGAGCACTGGCTGTTCTTCCAGAGAACCCTAGTTTGGTTCCCAGCACCCACAAGAGCATTGACTGCTCTTCCAGAGAACCCTAGTTTGGTTCCCAGCACCCACATGGCAGCTAACTACTGTCAGTAACTCTAGTTTCAGGGATCTAACACGCTCTTCTACACTTTGCAGGCACTGTGTGCATGTCGTACACTTATATACATGCAGGCAAAACACTCATACAATAGTCAAATTTAAAAAGAAATTTTTTCAGCGGATGTGGCTGTGCATGTCAGCACTGCAGAGAGAAGAGGGGTTGCTGGCTGCCAGCCTACCTCCTGGTTCAGCAGGAAACCCTGTGTCAAGGGAACAAGGCAGAGCATGACAGAGCAGGACACCTGATGTCCCCCTCTAGCCTCCAGGAATGCATATGTCCAGGTTCAGGCACCACACTTCACATCCGCACAAAAGAAATCTATTATGAACCATTATCACTCACTCACACTGGACCCCCCCACCCCCACCCCACGCTACCTGTAGCCTCTCCCCAGGACACTGTAGCCATGGCAGTCCTCGTGACACTGGCTGGGTTCAAATCTCTACTCTAGCACTCACTTGTAGAGAGAAACCTTGTTTGGGAAACTCCATAAGAAATCTAACAGAAGGACAAAGAATGTTCTTCAACAAATGCCCAGGCTGACACAATGAGCTCAGCATGTTGGGCGGGTGAAGGCATACCTTTATACCTTGTAGGTGACCAGGATCCTCATACACAAGGTTCGTTCCCTCCCGAGATCAGGCGAGACTGGGCGAGTTCAAGGTGGGATGGTCGCAGACGCCTGAGGTTTTTTGAGACAAGAAGTTACACTATATCTGGCCTGGGGTTCAGTTCCAGACTTCTCTCCACCCATAAGCCCTTAGTGAGGGCATTACTTCATGACCCCCCGTCATTGTGGCTTTGGGGGGAGTCTGGCAGTATCACCTACCCGCCTCAGTGACGCCATCTAATTGCTCCATTTCCACAAACAAATAACAGCCTAAAGATAGACAAGTCAGCTGAGGTGCTGATAACCCCTTTGCAGAGGCTTCACCCTCTCAGCAGCCAGCCTGGGGTCCCTTCCTTTAGTCATTCTCAAGCTGGACACACGCTGAATGTCTCTCAGCCCTCGTCCAGGCAAACTGGCAGAGATAGGAAGGGACTTGTCTACAGCTGATGTAGCACAAGCAGGGGCTGGACTGAGTGAGGCTTCGGGGCCCAGCTCTGCCCTCAGTAGCTTCCATGGAGCAGGAGGGAAGGCTCACAAGGTCTGGGATACAGGTTTAAACTAGGATAGATGACACACAGGTGACCGGAGCTAAAAACAAATCACAAAACCATACAGCCAGCCCCAACACAGACTTCCCAACACTTGGCCAGGCTGTGTGCTTAGGGGAGTGGACTCTTCATTTTAGCTTTCCAGGAATGAAGAGTCCCTGTGACTTTAACTTCTGGGACAGAAGCTAGCACAGTCACATGGCTCAGAGTGGGGCCAGGGAATCTGTGCCACAGAAGTAAAAGGGGAGTCATTTTTTTCAGCGGTGTTGCCACTGTCATGTGCCCGTGTTCTGGTACATAACCCACCACTCACATTCATACAAGCAAACCCTAATGAAATGCAGCGGGTCACGCATGCACCATGAAAGCAGGAGGGTGATTTGTTGAGGATAAGGGGTTCAGTGGGAGTGGGGAAAGAGCATAAAAGGTGACTATGATCAAAATATATTGTATACATGTGTGAAACTGTCAAGGAATCAAAATACATATTAAAAAGTAAAAGACAAGACATTCTTAGCTTTCCTGTCACCTAAATTGCTACTAAAGTCCACAAAAGGCACACAATACACAGGGGCTGTAGACACCCCAGAAACAGAGCCAGGGCTCTAATTAGAAACTGCCTGTCGCCCCTTGGCTTGATGGTTGAGGTTGAAGACAGCGCTGGTCATCTCCCATCTCCCTGGCACCCAGCACGATGTCAGGTGCCCTGTACTCTGTGGGCATTGGCTGCAGGTTCAGTTCTCACTTACCTCAGGACCCCCAGCAGGAGGGCTGGCTGCCTACAGTTCCTAGAGACTGGAGGGGCCTCCATCCCTAAGAATTCCACTCACCTGAGTGAGTCAATTCTCATCCAGTCCCTCTGGGCTCAGATTCCCCTCTGACTTCAGGATGAAAGGGAGGCACTTTGCAAATATCTGCCTGGGGCTCCCAGGCCCCTCTGGGCCTCCACCTGCTCCAGCCCAGCAGTCTATTTTGCTGTCACCTGCCAATTTTCCCAGGGCTTTTTCTTATTGTCCAGCCCTCTGCCAATGCTGCCCCTCCTCCCTGCATACAGGTTCTGGGAGCTATGGCTCTTCTGCAGTGTGGTCTGCATGCTCCATGGACATGGGCATGGGCATGGGCATGGGCTGGGCTCCCCTTATGCAGGTCAGCCCCAGGAGCCAAGGCAGAGTCCTAGCCAGGTCTGGGAGGTCTGCAGAGCAGGACCCACTGAGTCTTGAAGCCCTGTCTATGTCATTTCACAGCATCCCTGTGCCTTTGGTAATTAAAATCTAGAATGTCTAGACAAAGCCTATAAGTTTTCTGCTCTTTACTAAATAAATATTCCCTTCACAGAAACCAGCCCAAGTTCACTGCACCAGCAGGAGGATGAGACACTTTCCCTTCCCTTCTGCAGAAAGGACACAGCAGGCAGGCTGTGGGTGTCTAGGGAACAGTCCCTGCTCCCAGGCAAGAGTCTCCCAGGCAAGCAGGGCTGCAAGCTGAAGGGGCTCCTGCCTTTTCCCAAAGCAGAGAGTCCAGCTCCTGGGCCATGTGGCCTCTTTCCTTTCCGAGGTTGGTCACAGAATGCGCTGGGCTCCCAACAGACGCTGTCCAAACTCATCACCCCATGATGAAACTGGGCTCCTCCTCCTCCTCCGTTCCAGACGCCTCCTCAGAGCTGCTGGCTCGCTGCTCCTCAGACTGACTGGGTCCTGTGAACACATGACATTCAGACTGTAAACATGCAGATCCACACAGAGGCAGGGGAACCTGAAATAAGAAGCTGCCAAGCATGGAGGTGCACAGCACTTGATGGGCAGCAGCAGGAGGATCAAGAGTTCAAGGCCAGGGCTAGAGAGTCAGCTCAGCAGTTAAGAGCATGGGCTGCTTCTGCAGAAGATCTAGGTTCAGTTCCCAGTATGGAGCTAACAACTTCTGTAATTCCAGTTTCAGGGGTCCAATGCCCTCTTCTGACATCCATAGGCATTGCATGTACATGGTGCACTTACATACATGCAGACAAAACACTCATACACATAAAATAAAAATAAATTTTAAAATTTTCAAGACGATCCTCAGCCACATAATAACTGTGAGGTCAGCCTGGGCTATGTGAAACCCTGACCCCCAAAAAAGAACCAAGGGGAACCAGGGGCCAGCCACACCTCTCACACCCACCAATTCACCATGTTGTGATTTGGAAGGGCTGCCACAAAAGCCACCCACACTGTCCTCAGAGGAGTAGCTCACCCTCACCACCAGGCCTGCTGTGCATGGCTCCCACTATAATGTTCTACATTACCACCCAGGTCTTTCAGGTCTCCTGCAGCTTACTGTAGTCTTACTGCTGCTGGCAAGAGAACCTTCAAACCTACACAGAGGCATGGTGGCACATACCTTTAATCCCAGCACTTGGGAGGCAGGCAGATCTCTGTGGGATTGAAGCCAGCCTGGTCTACATAGCAGGTTCCAGGCCAGCTGGAGTTACAGGGAGACTTTGTCTCAACAACAACCTATGCAGAAACAAAACTCTCAGAGCAGGAGGCTATGCTCTGTCTATGCCAGTCTCCTGGCTCTCCACAAACATGGCCCAGGCCCTCTTTCCAGATGCCCCATGGACAGCTCTTAAGCTTCCAGAATATTCTAACACTGATGCCAGCACCATAACACAACCAAGCAGGCTCAGAGCAGAACAAGGACAGCTTGTCCCCGGCCCCTCCTCCACCTGTCCTCAAAGGAGCTGGGGAGTGGGTGGGAACAGAAGATGGGAGTGGGCAGGAACAGGGGAACTGGTTACAAAGAGGCTCAGGAAAATCCTCAGTGCAGGGACCCTGATGACTCAACAGGTATTTTCAGGGCAGTGAAACTATTTTGTATGTTTTACTGGTAGGGACATGTTACTATGCATTGGACAGAATCCACACAACTTCACAACATAAGAGTTCACATTTACGCAAATTTTAAATCACTTAGGGGCTGGAGACATGGCTTAGCAGTTGACAGTACTTGCTTCCTTGTACAGGGAACCTGAGTTCGATTCCCAGCACCCACATCAGACCTGTAACTCCAGTTCCAGGAGATCTGATGCCCTTTTCTGGTCTCTGAGGACATCTGTACTCAAATGTGCCTAGAACTTGCTATGTAGACCAAAATGGCCTATAGACCAGACTGGCCTCAGTACCACAGAGATCCACCTGCCTGTGCCTCCCAAGTGTTGGGATAAAAGAAGAGTACCACCACACGAGGCAAAAAATAAATCTTTGCTGGGCGTCGTGGCTCATGCCTTTAATCCCAGCACTCGGGAGGCAGAGGCAGGTGGACCTCTGTGAGTTCAAGGCCAGCCTGATCTACATAGTGAGTTCAGTCCAGCTGGGGCTACAGGGAGACACTGTCTCAAAAAGACCAAAAAAATTTTTAAAAGGGGCTGGAGAGATGGCTCGGTGGTTAAGAGCACTAACTGCTCTTGTAGAGAACCCAAGTTCGATTCCCAGCACCCACATAGCAGCTACAAACTGTCCTTAACTCCAGTTCCAGGGGAAATCAAAGCCCTCTTCTGACCTCCGTGGCATTGTACGACATAAGTGCACTCACATACATGCAGGCAATACATTCATACGCATAAAATAAAAATAATAAATAAAATATTTTTAAAAAATAACGGATTTCATTATAAAATAAATATAAATAAATCTTTAAAATAACTGTTAGTCACTTTTCTGTTGCTGTGATAAAATGCCAATAACTGAAAACAACTTACAGAAACTTATTTTGCTAAGGGTTCCAGAAAGGGAGTCCATATTGGTAGGTAAGGTGTGGTGCAGCAGAAGCAGGAAGCAGAGTACAAACAGGAAGTGGTGAGGCTATAAACCTTCAAAGCCTGTCACCCCCCACCTCCCTGGGCTGGAGAGATGGCTCAGCAGTTAAAAGCACTTGTTGCTCTTGCCGAAGACCCAAGTTTAGATCCCAGCACCCACTTTTGCAGCTAACAACCACCCATAACTACAGATCCTGGGGATCCAACGCCCTCTTCTGGCCTCCAATGGCATTGCATGCACATGGTGCACTTACACTCAGGCAAAACATTCATACACATTAAAGGCTCCATAACTTCCCTAAACAACGCAACCTTCTAGGGACCAATTGCTCAAATACATGAGTACATGGGGGATATTTCTCATTCAAATCACACTTAGGTCAGGGATCAGGGTGAATGCAGAAATTAACCAATGAGTACAACTGTATTATAAATCTCTGCGAATGTGTGTGTGTGTGTGGTGCAGACCCAGGCAGTTCTGGAATCAAGCAGACTCTAAGGAGACAGGCAAAGGGCCTATGCGTGATACTGTGCTCTAGTAGATGCAGCTGATTCCTGTGGGGGAGCAGTCATTCTCAACCCCTATCCAGTATGCAGACAAAACCAAGGTAGATGTGAGAACAAGGCTACTCACTGCTGCAAAGAAAGGTCTGTGCAATAAGGGTGTCAAGGACAGAGTGCCCCCCTGCCCCGATGATGGACAGAGCTGGACACACCAATACACACTCCTGCTCACCTTACTATGGACAGATGATTATGCAATGGTACTCACAAGTGCGTCTATGAACTGGCCAAGACACATACCATGTGCCACCCAGTGGCCTCTACCAACTGATGGGCCATACTGTACCACCTAGCCATATCACAGCCACAGCCACTCTCTAAGCTGCTCGCATAACAGAATTACCTACCCTTCCCCACAGCTCAATGATGAAGGACTAGACTTCCTTTTTCTGTCAACAGAAATGATGCCAGAGCAAAGCACCCCTTCCCCAGATGTTGCTGTCTAACATTATGCCAATAATAGAAACCAGACGTCTTGGACCAATGCCTGAAGCTAGGCTCAGAGCAGGAAATCTTCAAGATGAGCTAGAACATCTTATAGTGCCGGAATGGAAGGAAGTACTGAAAATGGTACTGAAAACAGATGCACAATGAGGGGACGTTGTCAAAGGGCCAAGGACAGGAGCCAATTGCAAAAATTTCAGTAACAAGATAAACGAGTATTGGGTCACATCTAAAGCATGAACTAAACCACACAAAACATCCTCTATAGACCAATGCTTCCACAGACAGAGGAGAAGCTGCCTCCTGTGCAGCTGTCTATAGAGTCTCTGCTGCCAGGGAGTGGGCTGCACATGGTAACTTCCTTCCTCACAGTAAATCATTTGGGGGAACATTACAGCGGGAAAACCTGACAACACTCCAGGGGTGAGGCCAATGCCAACATCAGCAATGCTGATGTGCTCAGCGCTGAATGCTTGCTGAAACTGAGGCTGTGGGTTTGATCCTTTGCACCATATAACAAAACCAAACCCAAAACAGCTACCACTACAACATTAAAAAACAGTGGTAAGCCGTGCTATCCATCAACAGTGCCCAGCCTGGATGTGCCAGTGGCATGGCAACAAGAGGTACTGTGCTGCTGTGCCCTCCCAAACCAACAGTCCCAGTTCAATCTTGAGAGGAGCAGCAGACAAATCCCAGTTGAGAGATGGCTTACAGATGCCGACCCAAGTTAAGGCAGAGAAACTGTCCCAGACAATGGAGCGGAGGGCCACATGAGGAATGAATGTACTGTGGGACTCTGTGTGCATTCTACAACAGGATGAGAGAGGGATGGGAAGAATGCTAAGGAAGGGGACAGAGAGGGGCTCTTGCTACAGAATGTGAGCTGATTCAGCTGTTAGGAGAAAAGTCTGAGGATGCAGTTCAGTAGTAAAGTGTTTGCCTAGCACATGCAAGGCCCTAGGTTCAATTCTAGTTCTCTCTCTCTCTCTCTCTCTCTCTCTCTCTCTCTCTCCCTCCCTCCCTCCCTCCCTGCCTCCCTAAATAAAATGAAGCTTATTTTTTTTAAAAAGCTAGAGGTGGGAGTTGGAGAAATGGCTCAGCAGTTAAGAGCACTGGCTGTTCTTGCAGAGGACCTGGATTCAGTTCCTAGCACCCATATAGCAGCTAACAATGGTCTATAACTCCATTTCCAGAGAATCTGTTTGATACCTTCTTCTGGCCTCTGTCGGTACTGCACACACTTGCAAATGTGTCCATGATCTCAACACTTGGGAGGTAGAGGCAGAAGAATCAGGAGGTCAATGTCATCTTTCGGGGGCTGAAGAGATGGCTCAGAGGTTAAGAGCACTGGCTGCTCTTGCAGGGGATCTGGGTTCAGTTCCCAGCACCCACATGGCAGCTAACAATCATCTGTAATTCCAGTTCCAGGGGACTCCAACACTCTCTTCTGGCCTTTGTGAGCATTGCACAACATGGGTACACTTAAATGCAGGCAATACATTCATACATATAAAATGAAAACCCTCAATGTCATTCTTTACTGTACAGTGAGTCTGAGGCAATCCTGGGCTACATGACACCCTATCTCAAAAAAGCCCCCCCCCCAATGGAACAGCAATCTTTCTAGAGGGTGACATTTTTGACATTTGTTTGAGACATCACACTGCAGGGCTTCAACTGAGCTAGACCAGCACAGAAAATAAAGGGCAGCTTCTGGGACTGAGCCCATCAATCCACCAGGAAGCTCGCAGTGCGCTGGGGCCACCTTGTGGCACATCTGGGTACCACCACATTAAGCTCTGTTCCTTTCAAGTGGACAGCTAGAAAATCTCACTCTTTCATAAAATGAAAAATAAGAATTGGAAAGGGTGAGGCAAAAGGTGTATC